ATTTGGAGATGCTTTAAAAGCTAATGGAAGGAACGTTCCTTTGATGGATGAAAAGATCTTCTTTGATATAAAGCCATTCCATTAAAGTGAACTTCTAATGAAATGATTCCTCTATTCAATCATTACCATAATTCTCATTAATTAATGGAATCAATGATCATAGTTCCCATTGATCTCGAACTCTAACTCGACCTCTGACGAACCCCAAGGCTCGAGCCTAACCTTGAATGTATCTGTTTTGCATCGACCAAAACCCAATTGAACTCAATTCTCGGTAGACAACCAACCTCCAAAAAAGGGGCGTCAATGGAATTATCTGAGTATCCCAATAGTCTGAACATTTCAACGACCTAATCGTACCTCACAAATTTGCAATGTTTCAACAATGTCGAAAGGGGAATTTGGGTCGCACCAACCGAAGACCCGATGGGGCATGGCTAAGCCACAAATTATTTGCAAATCAAGCTTTAATTAACCAACTCTGAGTTGACAGATTAGCATAGTATTTCACTCTACCCCCACCCCCACTCTCTCTCTCTCTCCCCCGTACGTCTTTCTCTCGGTTCTATTCTTTGGCTAAGAGTGCAGTGCATATGACATATTCAGTGTTCAGGAAGACGAATGTCTCTAACAAAACAAGTGACATGAAAACTGTGTCAATACTTGAGGGTTCGGGAAACGTTTTACCTTGCTGCAGGCAAACCGGACGGACAGCTGCAACGGCTAGAAAGGTGAACCGAACCCCGCTGACTAATTGGATTTTCTGTGCGTGCCAGGTGCAGAAGACAGACTTCCAGCAAATAATACAAAAAGTTGTTGTATTCAAATCAAACAATTGCAGTGGAAAATCGAACGTGAAGTGTGCTGAACGTGTGCGCCGGCAAATACAAAAAAAAATATAAAATTTTCTATATTTTTTGTGAGATTTTGCAGCAAAGCATTCAACATTTTCCCCTATTTTCGTCACGTTTTTTCTAAGTAGTGTATGTGGCATCTTTTAGGCGCGTACCTCAGTGCAATGAACGCTCGAAAAAATCCTAGCATACTTTTAAGGCACAATATTAAAAGTAGTACCTATATCAAACTGAGCAGCGCCACTGTGTAATAATTACCTTTTGATGTAGATAACCATGTCAAAAAACGTCCGATGCCTACTTTTCGTGTAGAATATAATCTCCCCAGCTATATTTTGTTTTTCTTCTGTTTAAATTATTTTGATGAAGGAAAAATTATTTTAGGCACTTGAGAGTAATATTTGTTGACTGAAAAAGAAAAAAAAGCGAAAAAAGGATACTTTCTATTCGACCGTGACAGGACTCGAACCTGCAATCTTCGGATCCGAAGTCCGACGCCTTATCCATTAGGCCACACGGTCGCTTGTGTATTGTCGTTTTAAACGGGAATAAGTACGCGCACTCATGCTCTAGGGTTCTTGTTCCATGCAGTAGCACGGCACTCGCTTTCCGCCCCCTCGGATTCCAACCCGAATTAAAGTTATATAATAAAAAAAGCAAAAGAAAAAAACGAAACGAATATGAAACCCACCCCGCGACGACGTAGTTTCAAGACGAAACAACCCAAATCGAACGTGTACAATCCCCTGGTACGCTACCGCCCGACGGCCTACGTACGGAATGGCATCATTGGCGGCGGCGAGGGCCCCGGCTCCAGTGGCATCTACCAGATCGACGACCGGGTGTACACCACCAACAAAATGTTCCTCCGCGATGGCTACATGTATCCCCGCCAGCCCGGCCAGCCCATGGATCCGCGGTACCCGCTGGAGTTGCACGAGTTCCCGCAACATTTCGGCGCCACTGGCCTGCAGCTGGTCAGCACACCAAAGGTGCACATAGCCGGGGAGTATTTGGAAGAGCAGCAGCAACAGCAGCAGCAGCCCCAGCAGGTGCATCTGCAGCAGGAACAGGAGCGACAGGGCCGCAAAGCTGCCGCCGCTGCCGAAATAAATCTGGCCAATCAGGTCTACTGGCTGGGCAAGCAAAAGTCCCGCTCCCGTTCCCGCAGCAACAGTGCGGGCAACAAGAGCATGGCCAGCTGCCTGGGCGGAGGTGGGGGCGGCGGCGGCAGCAGGGACCGGGATCGGGATCGTCCCTATATACGGAATGTGGACGATCTGCTGAAGGCAATGGGCAAAAGGGAGGCAAATGCTGAAACAGCATCCACGGCATCGCAGCGACGACGCTTCAAAAAGGTAGGCATGTCAATCCCCAAAAGCAAATACAAATCAATCATCGCCGTGGATTGCATTTGTCAACCCAATGATTGCAACATTTTCAATTGTCGGCGGTGTGGCAAGACCACCTTAATTACATTTACATTTGTTGCGCCTCGTTCCGCCAGGCCATCCGTCATCACAACCCGACATCTCGCCGTCACCCGATCCGCCAGTCGCCTCTGCAGTGGACAGAACTGAGGCACTGAAGCCTGCCAACCAGACATCATTTGGGTTGTGGCACGGCCCCTGGGGTGCGTCTGCGCAAAAATTAAAATTAATGATGTTCCGAAATTCGCCTCAGGCCTAAAGGGGAAATTGGTAGGAGTAGTGCAGAAAAGAAGGCAGGGGGGGCAGGTCCAGACAGTAGCTGCTAATTTGCCATCCCAAAAAAAAAAAACACACCTGCCCCATAAAAAGATATTCACTCTACTTTTGGGAACTCCTCCAACTCCACTCCACTCCACTCCGCTCCACTCCACTCTGCTCCACTCTTTCTCCTTGATTCTTTTTCAATTTCTGAAAAGCCTGCTCTTTGATGCGGTTCCTTTAAGCCTTTGTTTTTTAAACCACTGCTGTTCAGGCAGCCATGACGATTTGGTTTTTGCTTTATTTTAGATTTTATTTTAAACTTGGTTTCTTTCTTTTTTTTTTTGCTTTTGCTTTGCTGTGGTGTCTTTTTCGTCATTAGTGGATTTGTTGCTTCTTCTGGTTTATTTTTCTGGCTTAATTCCTCTCTCGCTTGGGGCACAATTTATGCGCTTCTGTTTCGGATTCCAATTCTCGGACTCGGTCTACTCTGAGGAGCACTTGAGTTTGAGAAATTGGTTTCGTTGATTGTGCTTTTGGGGCAGAAACAGAACAGTGGTTCGAGGAGTGAAGATAAATGGCACCACTTTTATGAGGGTATGAGAGAGTTTGGGAGAGAAGGGTGGAAAGGGTTACAGAAAACGAAGAAAACGAAGAATATTTTTAACTGGAGTTTTCTTCAATTTTAATGTAAATAATAAATAAAATAAATACATAAAAAAAATAATAATACATAAAATATCATTTACATCCGATTCGTTCCTTCGCTACAGCCAGATATTGAATATTCCGCTCATCCGAAAGTGCTGATTTGTGCTATTCATTCAATTCATGCTTCCAAATGACATCGTTCGAAGCAACATAAATAGTTCATTCCATTCCATTCCATTCCATTATCTCTTTCTCTGACTTTCCAAGTGTCTCTCTCTCTCTTCAATATCAACACAATTCCCAATCACTCTTCAACCACTGTATAGTCTCCTACTCCCAGCCATGACTCAACTTCCGGCTGTGTGTAAAATTCCATTTAGAATTTCGCATCAACTCGAATGAAATGAAGTAAATTGTAAATGGAAGTGGAAGTGGAAGAAGCCCAACGAAATGAGCATAAATTTATGCACTATATATGCAAGACCCTAGATTCAAAAGAGTTAAGGATTTTAAGCCAAATCCGGGCAAGGAATTTCCCATATGCAAAGGCAAAAGCAAAAGCAAAAAGAAAAACCAAAAGCCCAAGCAGTTGCAATGCAGTGCAGGTTGTCTCTGGTTGGGGAATTCCCCCCTTTTTTGCTCGCTGCAGTTACTCGTAAATTAAATAAAGCCTTTGCCCTCGTACTCCTCTCTGGCTGACGTTGGCATGTGTTGTGGCATTTTCTTGAGGGTCTGTCTCTCTGTCTCTTCCTCCGAAGAAAGTTGTGCCCAGTAACTTGTTAACAAAATTTCACAGATGGTCTTTTAGTTTGGTTTTTTTGTGGCTTTACATTTTTCCGCTTTCAAGGCAGTCACGTGCCAAGATTCCATATTTTTTGTTGCAGTTGCGGCATCTGATTGAAAATGCAAGGCGGGTTGTCAGGTCCAATCAAGCAATGGGGAGTAAGGAGTGTGAAAACCCTAAAGAATTGGCTTTGTTTAGTTGCAGCTTTAGGGCTAATTAAAATGTGAAGTTTTCAAAAAGTTTGGGAAGCTCAAAGTATTATTCTCATAACTGGAAACCAAGTAAAGTTTTCCGGGAATTGAAAGTGAACAAAAATTATTTATTCAAAGTAAAATTAAGAATAATACTTTTAATAATAACGAAATTCTGCTTGTTATAATTCAATCATTTTGACTGGTCTCTGTTTATAGCTCTTAAACCACAAAATCCGTATTATCCGCCTCAAGCCAGCAATATGACACAATCTCTGCGGATAATCTGCCTGTCTAAATAACTTTGACCAACAATTACGCCCCTCCGTGGAGCTCCGGAGACTTGTGCACATTTTTGGTGTACAAACTGCAGTAAGACAAACCCCACCAAAACCCTCTAGGCCCTCCTCCCCTTCCAAAAAAATACATATATATTTATACATATATAATTTGTAATGACCAACAGCAGCCACCAGCTGGCGTTTCTATGAGCCCCAAACAAAGCAATAATTGTGTCAAAAAAAAAAAACTAAGAGACAAAGAAAAATAAAGTAGTGAAAAAGTTTGAAGTCGTGGCACATCGACGATCTAAGACCCAGTAGCTAGTTTCTAGATATTGAAAATAGAGCAGCATAGCGGATTTAATGGTTTCGAAAGCCAGGTGTTCAAGGAGCCAAACGATACGGAAAAATAACATTTAAAAGAGATCAATGTGCAGCTCCATTTCCGCATGATTGAGTTTAATTGCTTTATTTACTTTAGACCCTGATTGAACACTGGCTGTACTATATAGTACACAGATATCCGATCATCTGCCCAATCCATTTTTGGTTTAATTTCTCTGCAGGAGATCCTCTACGAATGTAAAACTCACATTTGTATCAAATTGCAGCTTCTTATCGAAGAACCACAGAAGGGACAACATATAATCCCCCGTCGGGAGGGGCAGACGCAACAGCTCGAACTTCAGATAAAAATCCTTGACAATTTGTGGACCCTTTAAAGGAAAAACTAAACATTTTCCCACTATTAACCTTATAGCTATTCGAGTATCTTACCACAAAGGGGCAAGTGTGGTTTATGTTTGAAAACTCTTTAAATAGCCCATATATTAAGTTAGCCACGGGGATATTCGGCTTTTGCAAATACCGGCAGACATCAACATGAAAATCGAATAGCCAGGGCTTGTATCCATTTTCCCTTTTTAACACCCGGGCATGAATTGATATATCTTTGGCTGGATGTAGCACCGTTCCATTCATATTGCAGAGCACTTTGTTCCGACTGACGGCCTTCAGACGACAGTTATGGAACACAAACCAGGATGTATTGTGGCTCTCGCAGGCGACGTTGGTAAACTTGAAGATGACAGCATCCTGAAATGGTCCCACACATATTTCAGAATATTTCACATACGTGTCTCAATAGTTTATCAATAATTAACATACATTCAAGTCAAAGTTGAATGCTATCCATACTGCGAAGAGCACGAAGATTAATGGATTGAACCCCATTCAACTGTTTTGTATTCTGTTCGGAAACCAACTAATATTCCAAATTTCGTGGCTCGAATAGTGTACTTATAAGAGGAAATGATTCGTTTAATTACAGTTCAATTATTAGCTGGCGAATATTTTTTGTAAGGAAAATTACCAGCTAATTTATATCGTTTTATAATGTTCCTCCGCTTTATTAGTAGATTAACAAAAGCGATATACCAGATATTATCCCATTATATAGAACCCCATCACTAGCACCGAACCATAAAAAGAGCAAAAGGCAAGAGCCTCATTTAGTGTATAAATCAATCGATTTTCTATAGGATATTTAATTTTTCAATTCAAAGTACGAGTGAATATGGAAAAATTATACTCTTTCATTATTCTGAATGGAATTCTTTAATGAGAAAATCAAAAATGAGGGCCCTAGATCAAATGGTGTTATTTCAATATATTGTTTTGTATGAGAACCCAAAAAAAATATGATGTATATGCTGAGAGAGCGCTTAAGAGCACTTACCATCGAATTTTGACTGATATATTCCACCAGAGTTTGTTATTTGAACTCTTATTTTCACCGAATATGGACATGTGTGATTAAGTTTTGAATAGAATTTAAAAGCCCAGAGAAGCCACTGGATGATAAGGTTTATTCGGTGTTCTCTTTACGATAATGTAATAAACTTTTGATGAAGGCAAAGCGTTGCATGGATAAGATCGATGGCAAAATGAAGGGCGTAAGAGAAAGTTAATGAAAAAATAGACAAGCTGTTGATTTCTGATCTATATATTTCCCAAATTTATTTATGGTATCGAAAAGTCTATTTTTCTGGCTGTTACATGCTTTTGCAGGAATTGAACATGCCCCTTTGCACACTCTCTTTGAGTACTGGGTATCAAAAATTAAAAGACAGGCCGACAATTTGAAATGTTGCACGTGCTCACGAAATTTTATGAGCAATCTAGGAAAATACAAATAAATAAAAGCAACAGAGAAAGGGGGAAAGACAGAGAGAAAGAGAGAGAGAGAGATAAAGAGAGAGAGAGGTACTGATAATATAATTGCTGTTGCATTAAGTTTTGGGGTAATTGCTTCACATAAGCCAGGTCATTAACGGCGGACGGCGGTCCGCCAGATAGAAATCAACGCTTCAAACTTATTCCACCCAAAAAAGAAAAGAAAATAAACCAAGAAACAATTTAGTTTAATTGAATTTTGGGGAAAATAAAGTATAAACAACTCAACTTTGGCTATCGGTGGCGGAGGCTATCGTGGAAGGGGGGGGGGGGGGGGGGAATAGCACGAGTCAAGTTATTTAATTGAAATTCTTGCACTTCTGTCTGCTGTCTGGCACATAACCTACGTTAATATGTTACCCATTGACCCACCGCCACCCAACCCCTTCTGAGGTACGGTATTGTTTTGGTTTCCTTATTTTTCCGCATTTCCCATTCGTTGGCTTTCTGTCTACTCATGCAGAAGCACTTGAACAGACTCGGGGGGCAAGACTCTTCTTGGGTTTTGTTTTGAAAGGTGGAGGAGGAGTTTCCTGGTCTGGTCAAAAGCAGCAGAGACCTAGAAAAATTCATACCTTCAATGACAAGAAACTATTTATGGATATTTGCCGGGCATGTTTTGCTGGGGTTTTGTTTATGGCCAAGGATTGAGGATAAGTGGAATTATAAAGAGAGACAAGGTTAAGTGGAATACATAGTGGTATGTGCTTCATACATACTACAATCCAATCCCCTCACAAGGATATAATATACCGATAAATAAAAGTACTTTCCACAGTACAGAGATCCTTAGAAAGAAGTGGCTTGGTATTGCCACATCACCTCCCCCATACGAGTACGACTTAAGCAGATCTTAGGCAGGTATTGTGCCCCTCCTTGTGGCATATTAGATATTCCATTACCATTCCTTCATATTTATGATAGTGCTTAGCCAAATGCTTACCTGTAAATCAAAGAAATACTTAAATACATACATCTGCTGACCGCACTTAACGCCCTTGCAATCGGTGACTGACTCATGGCTCATGCCCCAACCATCTGGTCTCCAACTCTCCCTCCCTCCCTCCCTCCCTCCCTCTCTCCCTCTCTCGCTCTCTTACTGAACTCTACAATTCTCTCCTTAACATGACACGCAAGTTCCTTAAGCATTTGCTGCACTCATTGCAAATTCACAGCAGCAGGCACTGCCGCTGCAACAACAACAAAAGCTCCTCCATCGCATTCCTATAAATACCAACTTCACACTGACTGCGGGGACCGCGGGCCTGCAGCTCCAGCAAAAGCTGGCAAGTTTTTCTTTTATCTTTGATTGCAAACTTGAACAGAGAGCGCACCAGGCAGCACCAGGCATCGCCAGGCAGCACCCAACAGGCAGCCACAGACAAGAAAGGAAGGCAGGCTCTGCTCAGAGACTGGAGACTTTGATACCCTCTCTTCCCTTGAGAGCTATTGGAGTTGAGAGTAGAGTATAGGACGAGGTTAAATGGAATACATAGTGGACTTGAGAGTCTGGAGCCAGGTATTAGCCATTAGACACTTGTTGAGCTTCGCTTTAAATATATCTTGATTATAGGATAGAGTTTATAGGATAGAGTCTTAAGATTTTCATCAAATTATTACCAGCTCTAATTTTAAAAATTGTTTAATATATTTATGAAAAAAAAAGATCCCTAAGATTTAATATTATATCTGAATTTGTATAAATATCCCTACAAGTCTTCCCCTACAACCCATAATTGCTACGGCAGTCCCCCTCAAAAGGACATAGACATACCCATGCTGAATCCTTTACTATATTCCAAACTTCTCTTTAAAGACATGATACCCCTCTTTGAAGAGTATTGCCATAAACTCCTTCGGACAGAGCGAACGGAGAGGAGCCTTGCCAGTGCTGCCCATTTTGTAGCGCTGTCGCTTTGAGTGGAGTGGAACCACAAACACACACACACACACACACGCTCATACACTCGGACACATACAGATGGAACCGAAAAGTTGCCTGGCAACATTTCGCTTCTCATGTTGCCAGCAACAAGTTTACGTACGTGTCTACCTGAATCCGAATCCGAGTCCGCACACACCTGAATCAAAGGGGCGCATGGGTGCGTGTGTATGTGTGTGTGTGTGAGCATTTTTGAGCATATTTTTTTTTTTTTTTGTTGGACGTACCTACACGTACGCCGTCGCCACAGCCGCCGTCGCCGTCGGCTTTTGCTTTTTCTTGAGCGTGCCGCGCCGCGGCGTCCATTTCAAAAGTCGACAAAAGTTGGTGGCGAATGGACGCGATTAACGGATGAAAATTTTTTGGTGATACTCGGAGCGAGCTCTCTCGATATATTGATACCCTACCTCCCACGCCACCCCCCCTCTCAGTGATATTTACGTGTGTGTGTGTTGGTGTGTGTGTTGGTGTGTGTGTATGCTGTGATTTGTATTGCTGTTTCGCTTGCTCTTTCATCGGTTTCTTCGTGTCGGTGTTTGTTCGGTTTATTTCGGGGGCGCCTGTACTTTTTTATGCGATCCGATCGAACGTGCCTGGCATTATCCCTCGATCGGCGATCGGCAATCCCCGATCCGTGCCTTTGGCATTAGTTTCGCTGTTGTTGCTGCTGTTTTGTCACGCGCGCGTCTCGCGACTTCAATTAATTAACAAAAGCAACAACAAATCCACTCAAAAATCATACACAAAAAAGAAAAAAATGTGATACCAAGTGTCATATGCTACAGTGCCTAAAACCCGTTCTCGCACCAAAAAAAAAAGAAGGAGAAAATCTTGCATTGACATTTTTTTTGTTGTTTGCCACAAGAACAAGATTTTCAAATGTCTGTGCAGCATGTTGCACTGAGCAAAAGCAGCATCAACCATCGTAACCTCTACACAGCGAACAAGGAATATCATCGGAGATCATACAATAATTGTTGCAGCGCATTCCATACCTCCTGAGAGATGGATATAGTCAGCGGCTCGGGAGCGGGCAATCAACACGTTCTGCCAAACAACCACTTTCGTCATGAATCATTTCAGCAACAGGTAACCAGCGACACAGCAACGAACAGAACACACAGAACCGAACCCACCAGAAAAATCTATAAACTGGGGCACTTTAAATTTTGTTGAATTTGGTAGAAGAAATATGTTTTTTAAACGATTTAAAGGCATTATTTTATGGATATCTGGAGGGCTTTACTGACCTTTGATTAATGTGATTTAGCACATAGCAAATAAAGTCTATCTATAGCTCGTGCAACAGAAAGACTCCTGGAAAATGCATTTTCATTAGAAAGCAATACAAAATAATTACAAAAAAAAACCCCTGCTCTGCACCCCCTTCCGTATCTGTACACCATCTATCCTCCAGTAAAGATCTCCCTCCCAACTCATTAGTTAAGCCAAATCTGTTTGCAGTCCTCATTTGCTTTGGAAAACTCTCACCTCACCTCATCAGGCAGCAAAAAGAGTCTCGGCGGAGTGGTGTGTGGCGTGCGGGCTGGGGGTTGGGGGGGGAAAACAAGTGCCAAGTTTGCACTAAGTGAAAATGCATTGAAAAAACACGAAGAAGAAACTGCTGTTTCTTTTTTTTATGGACAGACCGACCCGTAAAGGTTACACACGAAAGAGAGTTCGAGCTAAACAAATTGATGGTTAGACCAGCGATGCTGTAGCCGATGCCAAAAGTTTGATAACCCCCTCTCAGGCAACCCGATCCGATACCCCAAAACTGATATCTACATCGTATCCATCGTATGCCTGCCGTTTAATCACCAAAATTACCTTTTTATAGCGTACGAAAATCGAATGAAAAGCCCGAAAAGCCCGAAAGGAAACGGTTAATTAACATTCGAGTGTATAATTTCCACATGGCAAAAGGATATATAAAATAATCAACAAAAGCCAACAAATTGCTGCAACTAGTGGAGAGGGAGATGCCAGAGGGAGCGAGTGAGAGGGCACGCTGTTGTTGCAACTGTCATTACGTCCGTGCAACCTGTTGCTTGGACTCTCTGCCTCTGCCAGTGCCAGTGCCACTGTATCTGTATCTGTCGCTGGGGTAATCAACCAGAGAGCCACCAAAATGAATATACGAGTATGGGCAAGGAAAATGCGATGCCAATGGTAGTGCAGTGGTGCAGTGGGGAGTGGGGAGGGGGAGCGGGGAGGGGAAAACTTGTACTCGTAAAATTAATGAACTTTTCGAAAGTGAAACTTTTGATGAAGTGGCGCTTTTTTGTCTTTGAATATGAACGTGAAACATTTTGAATATTTTAAATCTAAGAGATAGGGAAATTGCTGAAGGAAAAACTGGTTACAAAACTCAGAAAACAGAAGTGGGACTAAGTGAAAATTAGTTGGAAAATGGCTTGAATCTAAGATGAAAGTAGAATGAACGTGGAAAGAGAATACAAGTGTTCTGATAGCTCCCCAAAGATCAGTTATCTTATGGAAAATATCAATAGAAATTGATCTTTGAAGTATTCATTAACCCTCTAGTGATGTCTTGGGGCCTTCTCTTTAGGTCTGAATAGGCTCCAGAGGTTTCAGAGAACCATTTTGTCACCTTTTTCTCGCATACCGACTGCACTCTTCCCTCGATAAACTTGGAACCCCCTTGAAACCCCTCTCTTGGGTAGAAAAACTTGACATTGATGATCGACTAGTAGTAGACTAGACTCGGTCTCTCGGTCTCTCTGCCTCTGTATGTGGCTCCAACTATAGCTCTGGCATTCACTTTTATGTATGTTTTTTTTCTTTCTGCTGGCTCCAAGACCTGCCGCAATCTTTGGGGCGACATATTGGAATGCATAATTCATGGCTACAGCTAATATATTGATTATAGCCGAGACTTGACGATGGAATTCCATTGCTATGCTATTTTTATGGCCATTCACTGATGGAACAGAGCTTTTACGGCCCGATGACTACTATTTATGGGAATAACTGTGTGATATGTGATATGTATGCAGATATGATATAGAAAGTAGAAGTTGATGGGGTTCCCACATAACGATAATTATCATTCGTGGGAATAATAAGTGGAAACTGGATGGGGAATGGATCTATAAAGAAAGTATAAGTAGAAACCGCACCAATAAATATCTCATCCTGATTCCATAGAATATACCTTTTCCATTGCCAAGTTCAACACGAAATCCCTTCAATATTTATGAAGACATTTTGAAGCTGAAGCTTAAAAACCGCAATTTATGCTCCAGCTTTGAAAGCAAATCCTTTAAACCGATTTCTGGAAAAGCAAATATACACAGAAGAGCCCCATACCATGCCAGGCCATGCCATAAAGAATCTCTACCTCTGTATCGAGAGAGGAGGAAAGAAACCAGTTTTTCACATGACCATAAAGAATACCAGCAACGGATTCGATCTCTGACAAAAAATAAAAGACCAAAAGAACAAGAAACACGTATTCGAGAGGGGCCCTAGCACACAGTCACCAACAAAAGTCTACAAAAGAACTCTCCAAGGGTGCCTGGGGGGGGACGGGGACGGGGGTTTTTGAGTGAGAATTTCCACTCGAAACTAAAACTCGCTTTGAAAGAAAGAAAAAGTCTTTAACAGACTCCAGACAGAATCCAAGTCAAGTCAAGTTGTTGTTGAACTGGTTTCCGATCCGAAGATCAGAGGAACAGAGAGAAGAGAGGAACAGGCGAAATGGAACACACACACCATAGCCGGGCCCTTTGGAGACTTTGATTTTGGAGACTCCCACTCTCTGTCTCGCTCTATCGCCCTGCATGCGGGTGTTTCTCGAACGTTTAACCCATTGATTTATATTGGTAATTTAACGCCATTATTGTGCAGCTGCCACTCCTGACTCCAGCTCTTTGACTCTTTTGGGAAAGTTATCTAACAGAAGAGGGGGAGGCCATGAACTGCATTGCTGCATTGAACCAGACAATTGAGTGATTTCTATTTCTGCTCTGGGGGCCAGGGGCAAGGGCAGGGCCAGGGGCCCTTCCCATGTTTCGAGGCAATTACCTCGCCCCCCCAACCGACTTCCAAACATATCCCCAGCTAGCGCTACACCTCCATGATTCGTGGCCTGTTGCCATGTTATGCCTTCATAATTGTTTGGGCTTGCAATCAAAAAAACCATACAAAGTGGGAAATGGATAAAAATTGTAACCCTTTTTCCCCCTATTTTCACTCTTTCCCTCGAAATTGAGCAGTAAAATTGTTAATTTAGCTTCTGTCTTGTGTTAGTCACGTGAGCTTCAAATTAAGTTTTGGTACCCAGCACTCATCGGGCGTGGGGGTGTATTAAATTCGTGTAAACGTACGTAACACCAAGAAGGAAGCGTTGCCAACATAAATAAAGCAAATCCGAATAGGAGATGTACTCTGGACGTTGATATTCAATGAATGCATCTTTCGATCACAGGCAAAACGCAGCCCACCTCCCGCCCAACCAACCGAGGGGCTCTACCGCATGACGCGCGGCGATAGGAAAGATAGCTGTTAGACCAATAAAGTAAAATATATGTAGTACAGGGTATCTTTGTGTCGAGCCACGTGTACTTTGATGGAAAGTAAGTATTCCGAATGTATTTTTGCTGTTGTTGAATGTAGTCATTCCTGCCTGCAATTAGCGCATTCGTGCGGGGAGGATTCGATTCAGTTGTGGCTATAAATAAACAAAGTTGGGAATGGCCCCTCCCCTCCCCCTGAATAGAGGGCGTTTGGCAACCAAAGCGACATTTAAAACCGATTCGATAGAGTCTTGCAGACCCTAAGGTTGTTTCTTGGAAGCCAAAACGGAAAGCT